ATACGAACATGATAGAAAAAATTATCCTTCATGTTGGTAGTATATATCAAATTTTGGCAGAGTTATTTAATACTAAGTTTTGTGTATTAATCAAACCTAATTTGAGAATTTCATTTTTATTAAACTAGCGAGTTTTTATGAATTTTTTAATAAAATAGGGGATAACAATTATGACATTTATATAAGTCTAGGATTATGAATTTAAATTTATTCTAAAATTTAATTAGATATAAAAGTTAAAATTATTTATTTTAAATAAAAAATATATATTTAAAAACTAAAATTGGTTTGAGATTCAATCATATCACAATAAAAAAATATATTTTAAAAAAGGAAATGAAAAAACAAAGATGTGCAAAATGTGCTAAAAAGAAAAAAAAATACACTAAGTATGATTCGAGCTCAAGACGCCAAGACAAATATATTTGAAAAAAAAATTAAAAGAAAACATACTGTTGGACTCAAACTCAAGAGTTGAAGGTTGGAGCAAGAATTTAGATCCGCCCCTGATCTCAGGATCCCTCTCATTCGGATGTGGTATCAGATCATTCATGTACCCCTCCTCTCTAGTTGGACGTCAAATGCCCACATCCCACTCTTTATCCTTTGTTTTCCCCCAGGTTGTATATGAGTTTCAAAGAGATAGTGGACTAGCTTCTGCCATCCAAAGTCGTTAAGATATTGCATATCATTTGTAGGTACATCCTAAGTAGTGTATTTAGAAAGGGTGTAAGAATAGATGTAATATAGAAGTTAGTTTAAAAGTCTAGAAGAATTTCGACCATAGACTCTGCGCCTAGTGGGTCCATGGTCGGCACGGCCTGTTCTTGAACTAGTATGTATTCTGGGACGTGTCGTGTCAAAGTTTCACTATTATGCACGGTAGGATAGGATATGTTTTTTCATTATGTAACCCAAGATTACTCCACTATAAACTCGGAGCTTTACTCTTATGCACTGTAGGATAGGATGCCTATGAATATAATCACTACATGTAAGTCGACTTTTCACGAGTTGTTTGAAATTACAGTTGGGTCAAAAGTCTGTTTTACCCCTGTAATTGCATCTTATACCTTAAGTAATACTGATTCTCCAATCAAACAATCCATTTATGATTCAACCACAAACTAAGTCCTTCTCGAGCCAATGAAAAGTTTGGGTCCTATTGTTCAAGTCATGAAATCGGCACTTGAGAGACTACTCATCTGCTTACCCTATAATAAAAAAGAGTGAATTCCATCTTGTGAAAT